ACTAATATTACACTGTATGTTAACTAACTGGAATTTAATTAAAAACTTAAAAAACAAAAAGAATGTAAAATGGCAGAGGAAAACATACCATACAAATACTAAGCAAAAGAAAGCCTATGTACTTGTATTAATATAAGACAAAACAGAGATCAAAACAAAGACTAATACAAGAGACAAAGAGGATAAATTCATCAAGAAGACACAGAAATCCTAATTGTGTAGAGATTTAACAGCAAAGCACCAAAATATATGAAGCAAAAACTAAGAGAACTAAAGGAAGAAACGGACAAATCCACAATCAGATTTGGAAATTTTAGCATCTTTCTCTTAGCAACTAACAAAACAAGTAGATAAAAATAGCAGTAACGATATAGAGGATTTATACACAACACTATCAAGTACCTTGACAGAACTGATAACGCACCCCACTGTCAAGAATACCACACCAAACTGTCAAAAGATGAGCTGAAAAATGGCTGAACTGCCAGTTGTCAAAAAACCTAAGACAACAATCCAGAATGAGAGTAACAGTCAAGCTTTGAATCACTTACTAATCACTTAGTACAAAAAGAAGCTAACCCAAAGAAAGCAACGGCTCCCCCACTGTTCCATGTTCCCCCATGGAACAGTACCTAGAGAGGGTCAGATGGATCAGCACAGAAACAGGGAATCATTTCACTGCCAATGGAGTACCAGACAAAAGGTTGCACCCACCTCAAGGACCAGGGCCACAGAATCCAAAAGGAGCCAAATCAGAGGGAGTAAAGAGGATCCCATAGATCACAGATGAACAATCTTGAGTATTAATAAGAACAATAACTGCTATGGATAAAACATATCAAATATATTTAAATCTTCAAATTCATGATAATAATTTAAAAGAAAAACATAGGATGAACTTTGGAAGATGCTGAAAAATAATAAGTAAAAGCAAGCTTTTATCCTAATCTTTTAAAATGTGCTATACTTTAGAATAACCAAGACATTGATGAGAGGATGGTTCCCTTTACACATGTATTCCAACTAATAATTACAGAAGAAATAAGAGAATTAGAGAATCATTTTGTAGGACGCCTGGGTGGCTCAGTAGGTTAAACGTCTGCCTTCTGCTCAGGTCATGATCCCAGGGCCCTGGGACTGAGCTGCAATCAGGCACCCTGCTCAGCAGGGAGCCTGCTTCTCCCTTTCCCTCTGCCATTCCCCCTGCTTGTGCTCTCTCTCATTCTCACTCTCTCTCTCTCTGATAAATAAATAGAATCTTTAAAAATATATATCATTTTGAACTCTGATAAAATAATAAATTCCAAGTAAAGACAACCAATGGCTACTAAAATCACATAAAGGAAAACAACCTAATGTTATGTAGCTTTCACCATTAAGTATGAAAGATTAGTGCAAAGCAAACAAGCAAAGCCACACACAAAAAAAAACCCTGAACCTGATCAAACCTCTAGAATTAAATACCAGTTTAGAAGAAACACAGGAACATGTAAAATGACACCACACATATACAACCAACAGAATCCAGAAGATGGGTAGCTCTATAAGAAAACTGCTTCTGGAATAAACTGCAAGAAAAGAAAAAGAAAGATTAAGAAGCATATCACACTATTACACTAAATAGATATTGTTTGGATCTTAATTCTAATAAATATTTATGGACAATGGGAGAAATGTGAACACTGACTTGTTATTTCATAACATTAAAGTATTAAAGTGGGTTTTTTTTTTAATAGTGATGATATTGTGGTTCTCCATTACCCAAGTTAAAGAAAAAAAAGGTCTTAGTTTATCTTTTTATTGTTAAATATTCTTTTTTCTCAGAATTTATTGAGACTTGTGGTTTAAAGATTTTATTTATTTATTTGAGAGAGGGAGTGGGAGAGGGAATCTGAAGCAGACTCCAAGCTGAGCTCAGAGCCAGACACAGGGCTCAATCCCATGACCACAAGATCATGACCTGAGCCAAAACCAAGAGTCAGACACTTAACCGACTAAACCACCCGGAGGCCCCATGGTTGTATTTTTTTAAGTAAAAATGTTCTTATCATTTAGATGCACATACTAAAATATTTGTGGATGAAATACATATCTAGAATTTACATCAAAATAACCCATTTTTTTGGTGGGGAGAGGGAGCAGTAGATCTATAGATGAAACATGTTTAGTTACAAATGTATATTTGCTGAAGCACAGGGATGGGCAGGGTACATGGGGAAGCATTATACTTCTTAGTTTCATACATGCTTGAATTTTTCTATAAGAAGTAGTTTTAAAAAAAGAAAGACTTTACGGGTGCCTGGGTGGCTCAGTGGTTTAAAGCCTCTGCCTTCGGCTCAGGTCATGATCTCAGGGTCCTGGGATCGAGTCCTGCATTGGGCTCTCTGCTAAGCGGGGAGCCTGCTTCCTCCTCTCTCTGCCTGCCTCTCTGCCTACTTGTGATCTGTCTCTGTCAAAGAAATAAATAAAATAAAAAAAAAAGACTTTAAATTAAAGATAGATTCCATATATGAACCATGATTCAGTCTAAAGGAGTTTTTTCGAGTAATTGTTATTTTCTTCTTTCTTTTGTATTTTCTAAGTCATAACAACAAAAATGTACTACTTTGATATCAGAAAACAAGGAAATAATAGCTTTGTGAAATTTTAAGAAAGGACATGCAATGGCTATAAAAAGTCTCAATAAATTCTGAGAAAAAAGAATATTTAAAAATAAAAAGATAAACTCTAAGACCTTTCTCTTTTTAACTTGGGTAATGGAGAAAAAGATGGGGAAAGGGAAAAATAAGGAAATGCACCCATTTCATTATTACTTGAGAGATGTGATTCAGGTAGAATTTGTACTAGAAACATTAAAATAAACTAAAAGTAGGCCACTTCTAGAAATTTGCCCCAAAGATAAACATCTACATATAGAAACCACAGACTTTGTTATTGATTGCTATATTATATAATGGCAAAATACTGGGGAAAAAAACCAAATGCCCACTCACAGAAGACTAGGTGAATAAACTAATACACCCATACAACAGAATAGATCATTATAAAACAGAGTAAGAACGATCTCTATAGGCTGCTAAGAATGATCTCCAGGATACATTAAACACAAGGGAAAAAAAAAAGGTATAGTGTAGTATACACAGAATACTCCCTTTTAGTTAGGAATGGAGACATAAAAAATAAATGTATACATGTATGTGTATCTATGTATACATGCAAACACATACACATAAACATGTCATTTAAAAGAAAAATAGAAGAATACACCAAATAAAAGTACAGGTAGTTATTATCTATACAGAGAAAAAGGAAACAGGTTGAAGGGGATAGGAATAAACATTGGCCTCCTCTGAATTCACCTTTGTTCTGTAGTTTTGATTTTGGAGATAAGTAAATATTTTACATAATTTTAAAATGAAATTAAATCAAAGTCAGGAAAACACAGTCACTAAAAGTAAAAAGCAAGATGAAACAAATGAGCCTAATTGTAGGACAAGTCATATCCTATGAATGTCGAGAAGTCTTGATTGTTTTTCTGTATTCACATAATTAGTAAAAATATTGGTATTGTTAGTTTGAAGCTCTCTCCCAATTCAAAAGAAGGGAGAAAAGAAGGAAAAGGGCATAGGGAACAGATGGGACAAGATGATGGATTTGACCCAAACCACATCAATGATCACACTAAATATAAATGGTATATTTAATATAATATAAATTGTATATAATATAAATATAAATGGTCTATTTATACTTTAATTGTAAGAGAAATTGTCAACTGGATAAAAACACAAGATCCAATGAAACACCGCCGACAAGAAATGCACTCCAACATCAGAACATAAACAGTTTAAAAATAAAAGAATATTTAAAGATATTAACACAATGAAAAGAAAGTTGGACTGGTAACATTAAATATCAGACAAAGTAGATGCTCAGAGCAAAGACTACTACCAGGAATAAAGAAGACCACTTCATAATGACGAAGGGATCAATTCACCAACAGCACATATTACCTAAAACTTTTACGTACCTAATAACAGAGCTTCAAAATACATGAAGGAGAAACTTAAAGAAATTATGAGGAGAAAGAAATAAATGCAAGGTACTACAGAGGATTTCAACAACACTATCAACCTATACCTAAGTGACATTTATGGAACTCTCCATCCAACAACAGCAGAATACAGTCTTTTCAAGTGCACACCAAACATTTACTAAGATAGACCACACATTTTGGGTCCCAAACCTACTCTTAATAAATTTTAAAGGACTCAAGTCATAAAAAGTATATTCTCTGAACACAATGGAATGAAATTAGAAATCAGTAACAAAAAGATCTCTGGAAGATCCTCATAATACCTGAAAAGTAAATAATATATTTCTAAATAAACCATAAATCAAAGAGGAAATCAAAAGGAAAATTAGAAAGGAATTCAAACTGAAGTCAGAATAAATAAGATTGGCAAGTGAAAACTTTTAAGCTGGGCCTATGATGGTTCATTATACTTTTGTGTAGTTTGAAAACTACCAAACGGGGCACCTGGGGTGGCTTTGTTGATTAAATGTCGGGCTCTTGATTTAGGCTCAGGTCACGACTTCAGGGTCATGAATTCAAGTCCCGCCTCAAGTTCTGCACTGGGCATGGAGCCTGCTGAAGATTCTCTCTCTCCCTCTTCCCCTTCCTCCATACCCCGCACCCCCCACTTTTTCTTTAAAAAAAAAAAGAAAAGAAAAGAAAAAAGAATGCTGCTGTGTCAGAAATAACACAATATCATCTCCTATTTAAATTAACGAGTCTCAAATCCATTCTTCCTCAATTTAACCACTGTTGGGAAGTATCTCTCTCAATTAACTGCACATATTCCTTGCTCCCAATCTACAGAAAACTATTTTGCTACCTCCATCATTTGAGAAAGCTTAACTAGGAAAGAGAAAACAAAGATTCCTATGTCCTGAAAAAATAAAGGCATTTAGGGAAACAAAGGAAAACATCTACTCACCTTGGACTTTGCTTTTGAATGTACGACAGCCATTTTTTCCTTCTCTGGGCTCTACTCTCAGGAAAAGAAAATGGAATCATAAAATAGTACATCCTTCTTAGGATATACTCTAAATTAGAACATATGCTCTTACCCACCCAGCCCCCCCAAACTATCCCTCATTTACCCTGGAGGAAAGTTAGAGAGTATAACAATTCTGTATTCTGTTTTAGAAAGAAGGTCCAAGACTCCAGCTGTCTGGGACCAGAATTTACTGCTGGATTCAAAACTGTCCACTGGAGACAGAGCACTACCAGTTCTAAAGTATGTGACTGACTCCTGTGGCACATTCTCTAGAAGTATTCCTACTCCCCCATTATATTTCCATATAGCCTGTTTTGAATGCAATCAGCTCTAATCTTGTCAAGAACAGGTCTGTGACTTAAAAATAGCTCAGTCTTCATTCAGGGTCTCAAATTCCTGATGTCTTTCCTTCCTATCACCTTTCTGCATTCAAAATTCTTAAGACTGTAAGGTGAGAGGACACCTGGAAGCCAAAAGGAAACCTACATCTACAATCCCAGTGTGAACTAAGAACCAATACAGGCCATGTGTATAGGCCATGTGTGAAGAGGGATCACTGAGGTCAGAAAAGAAAGAAGTCAAGTTCTGTAAGGACAAAGCCAAAGGGACTCAAGACACATGGGCAGACTCAGTCCCATAATGAACCCCCAAAATACAAAAACCCAATTTTATCTCTATACCTTACTAAACTCCCATAAGATCACAGACTATAAAATATGCAAATTGACTAGACAAAGTCACACACACTTCCGTGGTCACACAGCCAGAGTCACAATCGCCAAATTAATATTACATCCTCAGACCACCTCTTATCTTAAACAAAATCCAATTATAAACAGAGCACACACACAAGGACACAAGCACATACAAGCACCCTGTCAGGGATACACCAGGCCAAAAACAGCATTTCACAGCAGCACTTTTACTATCTTCACACAGTCATGAAAGCGACACACTCACAGTCCCAACAGTCACACATATGGCATACACACAGCCATCCAATCAGACAGAAAAATGCAACTAAGTACCAGATCAAAGAAATAAGTGGTCACAAACACCGGGTCACAGCAACACTCTCATAACATCTTAAAGTCACAAACGTCAGTGATACACACAATACACAGTCGCATACACAACCTCAAAGTGACCCAAGTACATCCAAAAACCCTGTCACAAGAGCACTGTCGCACAGCTCACAGTCACAAGCAAACCTCCGGTCACATACAAGGTACACACACAATCACCGTCACATAGGCACATTCCCAGTCAGTTAAGCACGCGGTAACAAACACATTGTCACAGCAATATTACTACCTCCTCAGAGTCACGACTCACCCTCACACAAACGCTTACACACAAAACCACAGTCGCATACGTTCATTCGCCTACATCAGTAACAGGCAGGCTGGCTCACAGCACAAAACGGCTGGAGACCAACATACACGCAATCCCAGCGACGCTTCCGCCACGGCATTCCCGACATCCTCACCTCGACAGAAGGTGCGGTTCAGGATCCAGGATCTGGCGCCCGGGGTCCAAGCCCAATTTGGGGTTCGCCCGCCCAGCCGGAGCCGAGCCAAGCTCCTCCACAGACGCTGCCCTCCCCACGCGAGGTCCCCAAATCGCGCGAACAAACGGAAATGAAGCCTCACTGGGGACGCGGTGGCTCTGGGAAATGTAGTCCAACGCCCGGAAGGTTGTAGCCTGGCGCGCTGAGATGCCCAGTTTACTAAACCTCCGCGAGGTTCCTGGACTCCGCGGCAAAAACGCGCTCGCGCAACGGCTGCGCCGCGGGTGTTCCTGGGAGTGCCCGTCTGCCCTCAGTGCGCAGGCGTCAGGCGCGCGCTGCTGGGGCGGTTGGGGTCTGAGACTGCAGTTGCCGAGAGTCGTCCCCGGGTCTTATCAGATCTGGAGAAGGTGGGACGGACCCTCAGGCGGGCCTGTGCGGGGGAGGAGCTGGGGCTGAGGCGGGGACTAGCCGGAGCCTCGGACTCGCAGAGACCTCCTCCCTGCCTAGCCAGGCCCTTTTTGTGTGTGTGAGATAACGCGAGAAGGTTACAGGCTGACTGGGAGGCCCTCGGCGGCTGTGTGTGTGGTTGTATTTCCGTATTTCTGAGTGCGATTCTACATGCTGTTGGGTGTGAGGTGGCTTGTACTGGAAGCTGCCTGGTAATGACATAACTGTGGGATTGTCTGACGGAGGAAGGGACCTCTGCTGTTGCGGTTTGTTCTGTGTTCATAATTGAGGGTGGTTGCGTGACTGGTGATGACTAGTGACGATTTGTGTTATGCAGATGTGCTCTTTTCGTGTCTCTATTTCGGTGTCTGTAGAAGTTTGACTCCCAGGAGAGCGGGAGGTCCTCCTGGTGGATGGTCAAGTTTCTTTCTTGGACACTAATTTGATTTTGGGGGGGGGGGGTTAATCATTTCATCTGGCGAATAATTTATTTTTTAAAAGATTTTATTTATTTGTTAGAGAGCACAAGTAGGCAGAGCGGCAGGCAAGGGAGAGGAGAAGCAGGCTCCCCGCTGAGCAAGGAGCCCAACATGGGGCTCAGTCCCAGGAATCAGGACCAGAACGGAAGGCAGACACTTAACTGACTGAGCCACCCAGGCGCCCATATCTGGCAAATAATTTAGACATGATTTTTCTTTTTTTTCCCTAAAGATTTTATTTTTAATTCATTTGACACAGAGAGAGACCACAAGTAGGCAGAGCAGCAGGCAGAGAGAGGGGGAAGCAGGCTCCCCTCAGAGAGCAGAGAGCCCAATGCAGGGCTGGATCCCAGGACCCTGAGATCATGACCTGAGCTGAAGGCAGAGGCCTAACCCACTGAGCCACCCAGGCGCCCCTTAGACATGAGTTTTCTATTGGATCAAGTATACATGTTATGGGGAAGAATGCAAAATCAACAGTTTTGTTTATTTTCAAGAAACGTGATTTCAAAGTCAGGCCTAGCTTAACTCCTTTTTCCTCTGGCACAGCCGGGCAAAGCAGGCACCCACTGTATTATGGGAGCATTACTGGGTAAGTTTGAAAGGCCATTGACTAATAAAATAGTTAAATAACTTTATACATGAGAAGATTTTACCTTGGCTAATGGAGAGAAAAATGAAGCTCTTGGTTTTAGCTCAGGTCATGATCTCATGGGTTATGGGATGGAGACCTGTATCAGGCTCCAGGAGAGTCAGCTTGAGGATTCTCTCCCTCTGCCCCTCCCCCACACAGGCACAGGTGCATGTGTGTACTCTTTCTTTAAAATAAGTAAATTAAAAAAAAAAAATCTTCTCTATACCAAGGTCATAATTTTAGTTTTCTATATTCTTATTCAAGTTTTGCCTTACACATTTTTTTTTTGTCATAAAACCTCTTAGAATCCATCTCTTTCTGTAAGACAAAGGAGGGGTGTAATTTTTGTGTGTGTGTACACACCAGTTGTCTCACATTATGAAAAGGCTATCCTTTCCCCTCTTAGCAAGAGTCATAAATTAAGTTGTCATATATATATGGAACTGGGTGCCACCCAGGTGCCCCTAAAAATAATCTGGTTTTTGCAGTTATTGTATATAGTATACTTTTTTAAATGTATGCACTAAAGTTTGTAAATTTTTTGTCCAGGTCCTCTATAATCATACTTGTTTTTGTCTCTTAAATATAAGTTACTAAAAGAAATATGTGATATCTCCCACTATGGCTGTAATGTTATTTTTCCTTGTAGTTTCAGTAATTTTGGCTTAAATGTATGTATTTTTAGTAACACATAAGTTTAGATTTATATAAATTATTGGAGATTTAAATATTTCATTTTGTGCTGATCTTTTTATAATGCTTTTATTTAAAGTCTAATTTTACACAATATTAATATAGCTACGTCAACTTTCTTCTGATTAGTATTTTGACTGATGTTTTTTCTGCTTCCTCATTTTGAGCCTTTCTGTATAATTATTTTAATATGTATCTTGACAATAGCATATAATTAGATTTTATTTATCCAGTCATTTAATGACATATTTGTATTTATTTCTACCATTTTATCACATTATTATGTGACATATTACATATGTTATATGTAACTTTTTAATGTTTTCATTCCCCTACCCCCCATTATTCCTTCTTTAAATTGTCCTCCTCTTTTGGAAGGTATATATTCTGTTTGCATTATCTCAGTGACTTTGCAAAATCTTTAATTTAGCAGGACATACTTAAGTTATCAAAGTCTAAACTTACAATTTTTCCTGCCCAGTAGTATAATGATGTTAGAATACACTGATCATCACTTCTACCAAGTTAAATGCTATTATTGCGGTATATTTTAGTTATATGTGTGTGTATCCATGCACACATGTGCATATATGCATGTGAGTGTACTTTTATTTCCATTTATTTTATACTGAACTGATTCCTAGGCCACAAGTTTTTGTTTCTTCAGTTTCTTCTAAGATATCTTTTTCTTCTGTGCAACCTCCTCTTCTGTTTTAGGAACAATCTCCTCTTTCAGTAAGGATCATCTCAATGTGGCAGGGAGAACTCATGTATAGATTAATCCAAATACGAGCTCTTTAAGTTCTGCACTGCATCTTGGGGACTTTCTTCACCTGGATGTGCTTAATGACCAGAGAAGCTACATTTAAATCCTTAAGTCCAACATTATTCTCTGCATTTTTAAGCATGTGCAATAATTCAGTACTCTTTTTAGGCCACAAAACCTGTGTCCAACCTCAGTGTTTGGCCTAGGTACACCTACCAACTCCACCATTGTTGTGACAGAATGCACGTGTTTCTTCTGTAAAGTGACATCCTCTAGAGATTTGGTGGCTTTGCAGATATGCATACCCTTGATGGCCCCTGATATGCATACCCTTGATGGCAGTTTCACCAGTTAAGAATGTCAACACAAAGATTTGAACTTTTTTTTTAAAGATTTTATTTATTTATTTGACAGAGAGAGAGCGAGAGAAGGAACACAAGCAGGGGTAGCAGGAGAAGGAAAAGCAGGCTCCCTGCTGAGCAGGGAGCCCAATGCAGGGCTTGATCCCAGGATCCTGAAATCATGACCTGAGCTGAAGGCAGACACTTAACAACTGAACCACCCAGGTGCCCCAAAGATTTGAGCTTTCAATTTGCATGACTTTCTGGGTCAAGTGAATAGGTAATAGGTCAAGTGAATAATAATTTTCAGAGATCACTTCAGGCCACTTACAGGAAGAGGACGAAAATCCCCTCATTCTTAGAAGAGATTTTCACTGAATACAGAATGATGGGTTGATAGTTTTTTGTTTGTTTTTTTTTTTTTAATTTTCACCAACATTTTCTTAGGAAAATTTCCATAGAAAATGATAAGAATTATACCATGAATACCATGTATTTACCACCTACATACTACAATTAATACTTTGCTATATTTGCTTTATCATCTAGTTAGCTATCTGTCCAGCCTGGTTTTCATCCACAAATTGGTCCATTTTTTAAAAATGTATTTCAGAGTAAGTTGCAGACATCAGTATATTTCACTCCTAAACACTTAAGCATGCATACTACTAGCTAAAGTTCAACATTTTGTTGCAGTTTTTAAAGTAAGATTTATAAACAGTGAACTACACTTGCCTTAAATTTATCATTTGAAGAATGTTGACAAATTAATACATTTGTGCAAACCAAAATCCTATCAAAGAAAAATATCATCACACCAGAAAGTTCCCTCAGGCTCCTTCCCAGTCAGTTCCCCAGTATAACATTGTTAAAATTCATCTGTGTTGTGATATGTTTGTGTATTTATGATATATCTAAATAGTTCTTATTACAGAGTTGGATTCCATTGTATGGCTATATCAGAGTTTCTTTATCCGTTCTCCTCTTGATGGGCTAATGGGATATTTCCAGGTGTTTTGCTATTATAATGCAGTTATAAACATTCTTGGATGTGTCTTTTATGAAGGTATTTTTTCATATCTTTTGGATAAACAACTAGGAACAGAATTGTTTGGACATGGTATATAGGTATAAGTTTTTTTTTATAAGTTTCTGCCAGAACTTTATCCGAAATAGTTGTACCATTTTACACTCCCAACAACAATGTAGGAGAGTTCGTTTCCCTACATTTTCACCAACATTCAGTGCTGTCATTCTGGATGTGTATCTCATATCCAGATGGTGTTCTGTAATGTGTCATAGTGGTTTTAATTGGCATTTCCCTAATGATTACTGATGTTGACCACTTTTTTTTGCACTCATTAGCCATTTGAACATTTCCTCTGCTCAAATTTTCTGTCCATTTTTAATTGATCGTATTTTCATTGTTGAGTTATATAAATTCTAATATATCCTAGACATCAGTCCTCTGTCAGACAAATGCTTTGTGAATATTTTTCCTAGCATTTGGATTTCCTGGTCCTTTTTTAATAGTGTCTTCTGATGAGCAAAAGGCTTTTTAAATAAAGTTTAATTTATTAGTTTTTTTCTTTTATAGTTACTGCTGTGACTTAAGAAACTTGTCTGCTGCCAAGTTTGAAAAATATTTAAAGAGTTACCTATGTTTTTTCCTGAAAGCTTTGTTCATAATATGTTCTTATAATTGTCTGTATTTCTTTGGTGTTAGTTGTGATCTCTCCTCTTTCATTCATGATTTTATTGATTTGGGTCCTTTCTCTTTTCTTTTTGATAAGTCTGGCCAGGGGCTTATCAA